CTCTGTCTCTGTGTTTCTGTGTGTGTGTGTCTCTGTCTCTGTCTCTGTCTGTCTCTCTGTCTAGGTCTCTGTCTCTGTCTCTCTCTGTCTCTCTCTCTCTCTGTCTCTCTGTCTCTCTCTCTCTCCCCCTCCCCTTCTAAAGTGAAAACAACCACCATCCCTGTCTATCACCTAGTCTAGCCTGTGAGTCTTCAGTGCTCTGATCATCTCCACTGAGAATTTAGACCAAAGTATTCATAGCAGCACTTTTTTTGTAATAGAAACAACCAGAAACAAGTGGATGTCCATCGATTGGGCAATGGTTAAACAAATTGTGGTTCATGAGTATAATGGAAAATTACTATGCCATAAAAAACAATAAGTACAATAAATATAAATAGAACAAGGGCCAAACCCTGGAGCATGCTTAGCCTTGCTTGTCCTCATTCCAGGAAGCTTTGGGGCCTCTTTCTGGACAACTGGATATTTCTGGCCATAGTGGCACAACACTAAAATTTTGGTATGATGTGGCAAAACTTGAACAGTCCTTTGGTGCTCCCCAACCCCATGACATTGGCAGGGGATTGAGGCTTGGTGTCAGTTAAAAGAAGAGATCACTGCCCATCTAGATCCTTCTTCCTTTGATGCTCCAGGTAGCATGTTTTAACTCTAACATCTTGGGTAAGTGTTGGGAAAAGGCTAACCCTCTCCACCTCAGCATCATAGAAATGTTGCCATGGTGGTAACTGTGTTCCTGGCTGCCTTTTCTACTTTTCCATCTGTTCTTTCCTCATCTTAGGTAAACAAGTATCTCTCTCAAGTTGGATGTGTCCAGGATTGGAGGCAACCATTTGCATTCAGAAGTCCTGGATCCCATTAGATTGGAGCCAAATGGCCTTTGGGTGATTCTCTAACAACTTCAATGCTCTTAGAGAGCATTAGCCCAAGCCTGGCTGTTTTTCCAGAAGAAATGTATTGGTAGAGAGCTGAGGTGAAGTGTAAAGCACCTAATTAACAGTTCTGTCTGATGTTTCATGTTCTGGTCAGGTTTAAGTATCATCCTCCCAGTAGAATGGAACAGTAGCTGCTGAATTCTGTTTTAAGTGGTTCTGTTCATGGGCACCATGATTCTTTTATGTTTAGCATCTCTTTTGTGTGTAGAAACAAATTGCCTGTCCCAAGCTTGATTCCTGTTGTACATTGAGTCCCTTCTTTACTCTCCTCTTTTGGAGGAAACCCCAAATATGACCTGTAACCTAAACTGCAAGTAAAATTGTCTCAGTGCATAAAGATGAGAGTTTAATGAGCCAAAGTTTAAGAGAACAGGGAATCTAATTCTCCTTTTGTTATAGGTTAGGCTCCCCAGAACTGAACCTGGTCCAAAATGCATACTGGGAACAGAACAGGGAGTAAGAACAGTTCCTCGACCCTGTGGGCCCAGGAACAATTTTCAAGGTTAGAAAGAGAAGCATGACTTACATGAATTGATACTGGTGAAGTAAGCAGATCCAGGAAAACAGTATACACAATTACTGCAACAATGTAAATGGAAAGAACAATGACAAAATAAATAAAACTGAATGTTTTAAAGTGTTAATGACCAAGCCTGCCCCCCCCAAAAGAGGTATAAATACTCTCTGCAATTGTTTCTTTGCAGAAGTGGGGAACTATGGGTGTGAAATGCTACACAGCATGTCAGATTTTTTGATATGTTGATTGGTTTTACTGAACCCTTTTTTCATTCTCTTTTTCCTTTCTTTAAGGGGTAGCTGCCCGAGAAGAGGAGAGGGTAAGAATATACACTAGGAAATATAGGTAATATAAAAAATATATACAGCAATATTTTGTTAAAAGAAATAGGTTTTAAGTTAATAGCATTATCATTGGATGTAGGGATTAAAAATGAGAATATCTGGAAGATCATACAAAGCCCATGAAACGTGTACATTTATTTTTCTTACTCCAGTATGGGAACAGGTCCATATGGACCTTCCAGTGTAGGAACCCTCGTCCATCACAGACAGCAGTCTGCTAATGGCTTAGTAAATCTTAGAAAGCTATCTGAGGTTCACATGTAGCAAAGTTAAGTTTGGAAATCAAGTCCTATGATTATCACAGATTCCCAAAGTGGGCAGTACTGCCCCCTATGGGGCACTAGAATGATGGGGGGCATACTAGCCTCCAGTGTAATTGGGAAGACATTGAATAAAAATAAGGAGGTGGTGGAAGCATAAGGAAAGAAGAGAAGAAGAAAATTTTGAAAAACTGTTCATACATGTTTCATCTGTTATGTAATAGAGTTAAAGTGGTAGTGATTACATTTTTTTCCAAATAAACATAAAATGCAAGTTATAACTGATCAGTGGTCAAGTCTGCCAACAGGTCTGAACAAGCAAGTATGGGCAGGTCACATTGCCTGGAAGTCCAGCAAGCATCAGCAGAAATATGTGCATATAATGACATATAACGATGATGCTACACTATTATGTGACACAATATTGCATCATCAAAATTTCAATGCAGGAAAAAAATCACAAATTTACAATAATTTATTAAATTTAAGATGTGTCTTTTTTAAATTTTATATTTTTTGAAATGATGCAAATTTTAAGAAAAACCATTAAAGGGTTAAAGAAAGTAGGTTTCTAGGGGGGTGGCGAGTAATTTTTTTAAAAGGGGGTGATAGGCCAAATAAGTTTGGGAACCTCTCCTCTAGACCCAGTGCTCTTCCCACTATACTAAATAGTCAAAGGACCGCTCCCCAAGTTGGGGTTTGCTCTCCATTAAGCTTCCTTCACATCAGGACACTGGTACAGCCTCAAATCCCTTACTCTTACCCCTAACTTTAAGTATAATTAACAGGTTTCTCCAGGAGGCCACATATAGATAGCCTAATTTGGAGTCAGAAAGACTTAAATTCAAATTCTACTCCTTGCACATATAGGTTGTGTGACCCTAGGCAAGTCACTTAACTATTCAGTGCCCCAGGGACTTTCTAAGAATGTTTAGTAGCAGAGCAGCTATAGATGTATGCTCTCTACACCTATAAAATCACGTCAAGTCCAAAACACAAAACAAAACAAAAACAAAAAGAGGGGTCTTAGGTAAAGGGATGGGTTTTGAGTAGGGGAAAAAAGAGGACCATACTCTTTCCTCTCTCCTTGGCTCTGTTCTCTTCACCCTCAGGGAAATGTCAGAGCAATTCCAACCCCGTAACTAGCTAGTTGATCTCTTGCCCCCAAGTTTAAGCAGTATTGCCTATCTCAGGGTCAGGATGGGTGGTGGTTCCTTGGCCAGTGCAGGTCCTGCTCCTTCCCCCTCCTCTGGCACCTCCACAATAGGTGCTGCCATAATAGCAATACTTTGCCCCATCTTAGCCACCCAGTGCAATTGCTCCCAGGGAACCTTTCTAAGCTAACTCTATATTACAGACGGTGAACCCAAAGTACAACAGGGCAGCGGCAGAAAGTCTCCTGGCAGGGTAGGACCTGGTGAGTCAACAGGGCTGGAAACCCCAGCGTTGACCCGTGGGAGCGGCTTCCCTCTGGGGGCAAAGGCCGATCCGTTTGCGTGAAGCTTTTCAGGAAAGAATCACCTGAGGGAATAAACAGGTAAAGGAGGGCAGTTGAGCAAGTTCAACCAACCCCCAGCCCTCTGCTCAAAGGTGGAAAGAACACTGATGGTTGAGGGTCAAGGCAAGTCAGGAGCTGACATTCCACAGCCTCTCCCATCAGGCCCTTTACAGACTGGAGTCCCTCAGGCTCCTGCTTCCATTCTTCCACTGGTGCTCTGAGATCCTCCAATGCCATAGGCCCAGAACAGTGAGAAGTCAGTCTTCCTTCTGGTTCATGCTATGTGGAGTGAGAAGACTTGGTAATTGTAACAATAACTCCTATTTCTATGGCATTTACAGTTTACAAGGGAATTCCCTCACAACAACCCTGAGAGGTAGACAAGTGGCATAAATGTTACGCCCATTTTATAGATGAGGAAACTGAGACTGAGAGGGGTTGAGAGACTTGCCCATAGCCAGTAAAGTGTAAAAGTTGGGATTTGAATCTGGTTCACCTGGCCCTAATCCCTGTGTTTTGTTGTTGTTGTTATTTGCCCATGTTATACCTGGATGCTTTAATCAACAATCACTGATGATGCTATTAACAGGGAAATCTAAATGATGGCCAGGACAGACCATAAAAGCTATGTCTTCATAATGGTCCAGCAGCAACACATACCTCAAAAGCTTCTATCTTCACACCAAGTAGTGGGCTCTCTAGGGACCCAATGATGACCACAGACAGCATCTAACATCACTCCCTCTTTGCCTTCTGCAAGGATTGAGTATGGCATCTCATCCACTTTCCTATCAAATTCTCCCACTCAGTCTAGTCACATGATTTCCTAAACTTACTGGAATGAGTGTCTTAGACTCCAAGTCTGTGAGATTGTAGATAATTCTGGCACCTAGTACATGGATACAGGTTCATTCTTTCACCTGCATGGGAACAGGCAAATACATGCCGTGGTTATGCCCACACAATCCTCTTAATTTTTTTCAGCATAGATAAACAACACATAATTCTTTCAAGAACTTTCACATCTACAAAGCACTTTACTTACAGTAAACTTGGTGACATGAAGGATTTTATACCCATTTTACAAACAAGAAAACTGAGGTTCAGAGAAAGTGAGGTTACAAAGCTAATAAATGTCAGAGTCAAGATCTGAACTCAGATCTCTCCCAACTCCAAGTCCAACACAATTTCCACTATGACATGCCTCTGTCTAATAAATCAGATAATGAAAGCCAAAAAAATAGAAAAAAAAATCCACTGTAGGGCTTGAATGGTCCAGACTGTTAACCTGAATGTAATGAATTCAATAAATGACAGATCTCTCCCTCATTTTGTGCTGTGGAGATGTGGCCTCTGCATGTCTTTTGGGATTCAAGTTGGCAGGTCAGGGTGCCACTGATTATCATTGTGGTAACTAGCTGAGAGGTATCTGATTCGTATGAATCTTACCTTGAGAAACTTTGGGGTGTGGGTTGAGTTGCTGTTTGGTCCCTGGTTCAGCCCCAGCAGATTTAATAGCTGCCAGGAGAGCCCCAGGAAGAGTTTCACAGGCAGTGGAAACGTGCAAGGATCAGACTGGAGATGTTTAGTCTAGAGAAGAGAAGACATCAGGAAAGAGGGGGGCATCATCACCATGTTCAAGTATTTGAAGGCTTGTCATATGGAAGAGGGATTAGGCTTGTTCTGCCTGGCCCCAGAGGCAAAACCAGGAGCAGTGAGTGAACGTTGCTGAGAGATAGATTTCAGTTCAATCAATGGAAAAATTTCCTAACAATTAGAGCTCTCCAAAAGTTAAACGGGAGGCCTAGAAAGATGGTGGGTTCATCAGCACTGTAGGCCTGCAAAGGGCTGGATGACCTCTGGGCAGCGATGCTGCAAAAGTATTCCTGTTCAGGTATGAGCTGCAAGTGAGACCTCTGAGTCCCCTTCCAGCTCAGGGAATATGTGATTCTAAGATTTTACGATGTTGTTCAAACAAAAGAGACAGTAGCCCAGACATTTCTTTCTTTTTTCTTCCCCCATGATGAACTCATTAGAGCCTGTGGAGACATGTGAATAAGGCAGGGCTGCCCCAGCCCCAGCCCTAGACAAAGAGTTTCCCAAGTTGGGGTGGAGCATGGAAGAGAGGAAGCTGAGCTGGCTGAATGCCCTTTGGAGCTATAGTCCTGGGCCTCCCGACCTATTCTTCCCATGGAGGCCATCACCATTGCTCCGTGGATGGGATTAATGGCAGCTATGCATACATGGACATAGCATTTTTACTCATAGCCCCATGTGCTCTGCCAAAATCACTCACATGCTTTTGCTCATAGATATGTAGACACACACGCATGTACTAACACAATCACAGAGGGAAAAAAAAGAAGAAGAGGAGGGAAGGGAAGATGGGGGATAGAAGAGGAAAGGAGGATAAAGCAGAGAATAGAGGGAGAGGGGAGGTAATGAGAGAGTATGGAGGAGAAAAAATGAGAAAAAAGAGGTAAAGAGAAGGCAGAAGAACAAGAAAAGAATAAAAATAACAGGAGTTGATATTTTACATCATTTTTTTAAAGTTTACAAAGTACTTTATATGCATTATCTCATTTGATATTTACAGCAACCCTATGACAAGTTTACAGGAGAGGAAACAAATTCAGGAAGGCTTTGACTTTCCCAGAGTGATATAGCTAATAAGTGTCAAAAGCAGAAGAAAGGAAGCAATTAAACTTTTTTAAAATGTTTTTAAAAAATTTTAAGATGCAATTGGGGAGTAAAATAAAATATTATTTGAAAAAGAAAAAGAGGTGAAACTCATCTATTTAATGATTATTTATATTTAATCCTCCTGGAAGACTAATCTGTCTTATACATAGATACTATGTTCGAAAATTTTCTGTGGTTCCCTATTACCTCTAGAATAAAGTCTGAGTTTCTCTGCCTGGCATTCAAAGTGCTCCACAATCTGACAATGTCCCACCTATCTACCTAGTCAGACCCATCTGGCAGCTAGATGGCAGGGTGGATAGAGGGCTGGAGCTGGAGTCAGGAAGACATCAGTTCAAATCTGGCCCAGACACTTGCTAGCTATGTGACTGTGGATGAGTCATTTAATTTCTATCTGCCTCAGTTTCTTCATTTGCATGAAATGAGAATTATAATAGCACCTACTTTCCCACAGTTGTGAGGATCAAGTGTGATAATATTTGTTAAAGCACTTTGTAAATCTTAAAGTGTTACATAAATGTTAGCTATTTTTATTTCATTCATTTCTATATATTCTTCACTCCAGCCAAACTAAACCATTCTGTCTCTGTCTACTCTCCCCAGCCCTGAACACAACACTCCCTATACCTTACATTCTCTCCCTACCTCTTCATCTCCTAAAGTCCTCTCCTTACTTTAAAGGCTATCCCAGTCCATCATAGCACTTTTCCCACATTTAAATTCATACCAAAAAAGGCTTAATCAATAATACAAGTAGAACTGGCATAGAACACAGATTGGAGGAGGGCTAGTAAGGAAAGGGCATAACCAGACCTCAAATGGGAAGATCTTTGGACCAAAAAGAAGAGGTTTCAATGATGGTTGTTCCTAGGCTGTGGTGTTCCCAGCTTCCTTCATTCTCCATTATTCTCCCTAATCAGTATGGGAGACAAGTAAGGTCTTATCTCCACCACCTCAAGACTACTTACATTAGTGTAGTGAGCCTGCATCTCCATACTAGGGTAATGGAACAACAACACACAAGAATTCCGCATGTCATGACAGCCTATTATTATACGAGAGCAGGACAAGGTCAATGTGTCTTGGTGTTACGGTATTGAGGACTCATCCGGATTCTTCTGATTGGTCTTCTATGAAAAGTGCTGCCTTTGTCTTATGTGAACATTTAATTATAGGAAGAGGTAGAAAAAGAACATTCATGTGAGAAAACACACTTTTGGACAGTTCTGAGGACCCAAGAAAAAACAGAATGACAAATAAAAGTACTGAGATCTCTCTGAAAGCAGCTCAAAGCAAAACTACTGATTGATTGTAAAAATGACTGCAGTGCATCGCTTTCCAGAAGCTAATTTCAAGAGTTTTTAATTTGTTGCTAAAATTTTTACAGCAAAAAAGTTTGTGGGACTATGAGATCTTTGTATGAGAATTAGTTGTGTGGTCTGTGAGAGAAATATAGATTTTGGATGATGTAGAAATGTGAGTTTTGTTCTCACTGTAAGGCAGAGGTGAGTCCATCTCACATCAGAACACACTGATCTGAAGCAGAAAAGTGAGTAGACACTAAAGTAGAATCCAACCAATTGAAAAGAGAAGACACATGGAGTCTCAGACAAAAGAAAGAAGCTCAGAAATCAGAGTAAATGGAGCCGTGACCAAAGCAGATGAAGAGCAGAGCAGCTGAATTGACAGAACTTGGAACCTACACTACCCCTCTGCCAGGGGGGAAAGAAGGTAAGCTTTGCTGCAGGGAACCGGTCAGAGGAAAGTCTAAAACTGAGAGATGGTTGAGGGAAAAGTCTTATTCCTCTGTGGTTTGAAGAGTTGATAAGATTTATCCGCCTTGCCCTCTGGCATTGTCAATGGCCTGGAAACAGGGAAAATCTTTACAGTTTTTAACCTGGGTCTGTAGATTTATTTTGAGGGAATCCATGACTTAGATGGGGGGAATCTGTATTTACACTATTCTCTAACTGAAATTTAGCATTTCTTTCATTTTTTAAAAAACATTGTTCTAAAAAGGGTTCTATATCAAAACGGTCCATGAAAAAGTTAAGGCCCCCTATCTTAGAGGCTTTACTGTGTTACCATCTACTATCCTTCTGGCTGGAGAGGGAGAAACACCTCCCAACTCAGAGAACAGAGATGCACAGCTCTGTAGATCCAGGCTTAAGGAATAGGTCTGTTGCTGAAAGAATATAATGCTGCTGTTTGACTAAAAAGCTTATCACGGTTCCCCAAGCTTTGTCCAGAAGAATTAAGAGGCCCAAAAGACTGACAGTCCTGCACAACAAATGGCTTATGACACAGATTGCCTCCTAAAGATACCAAAACTATCAAGGTCTCAGTCTGGAATTGTAAGTTGCTCTGAGAACCTAGGCTTCCCTAGTCGTGTGCCTAACTGCGAGGTTTCTATTACTTTTTGCATCTTTTCCCCTCTTCCAATGACATTCTATTCATTGGTGGGACAATGCCACGCAAGTTTATGGGAGAAAACTTCTTGACTATTCTTACGTTTGCCTCTTCACTTAGTAAATATTTCATGTTTAAGAACTAATAGTGTCATTGTAACTGATTTGAGCAAATGGAAAGTACACTGTTGGGGGTTCCAGAATACAGTGAATAGTAAACATATCTTTTACAAAAATTTTAATATTTTATTTTTCCCAATTAAATATAAAACAATTTTAACCTTCATTTTTTTTTTACAATTTTGAGTTCCAGATTCTCTCCCACCCTCCCTCCCCTCCTCCATCACTGAGAAGGCAAGCAATTTGATAAAGGTTATACATGTGCAGTCATGCAAAGCTCATTTCCATATTAGTCATGGTGTGAAAGAGAACACAGACAAAAAAAAAAACAAGAAAAATAAAGTAATAAATGGTGTGCTTCAGTCTGCATTCATATTCTTTCTCTGGAGGTGGATAGCATTTTTCATCATAGGGTAGCCGTAATAACTTCACAACACAAGGTTACCTCTAGGATCCTGAAAGTCCACTGTAGTTAGATGAAGTGGTGGCTGCAGCCAGCTCCAACCCCCCCACACATTTCCCCACCCCAGAGCTGCCATTGTGAGTGAAGGTTGGGGTGAGTGACCCAGCCAAGAGAGTAAAAAGGGTGGATCCAGTGTCATACCAGGAATCCATGCATATGAGATCCACTCGTGTTACACACAGTGAAACATTAGGGATTGGCCAAGGAGGCTCTCCAGTCCCAGTCTACAAACCTGTGGCATCAAAGATTCCAGAATCACAGAATTTAAGAGTTGAAAGAAACTTGACAGCCACCTAATCCACTATAGCACACCCAAGGAGTAGCTGTTCAGCCTCTGCTCCAAAATCTCCAAGCAAGGGGAGCTCACCACCTCTCAAGGTAGTCCCTTACAATTTGGGGCAACTCTAAATTGCCACGAAGTTTTCCGGATATCAAGTCTAAATATGCCTCCTTGTAATTTTCACCCATTGGTCCTGGTTCTGCCCTCTAGGACTAAACTGAACACATCTAAGCCCTTCAAACACCCAAACACAGCTCTCATGTCCCCCAAAAGTCCTCTCTTCTCTAAACATCCCCAGTTCCTTCCCCTAATCTTCAAATGGGCCTTCCCCATCATGATTGTCAATATGAAAGAATCTAGAAAAGGGCGGGCAGAGGGGTTGAGGAAGTGGTATTTCTAGAACAGAAGCAGGTAACCCCAAGAGTAGCTTCTCGCTACCCCACTTTCAAAGGCAAAAACAGGTTTTTGGACTCCCACAGTGCTAAACTCAAAGGCTTTGTGCCCTAGGAAGCCTTTACTGATCCTCCATGACCTCTCTTCAGCCCTCCCGTTATACTTTTTTTGTAACTTTAATCCTTTTAGGTAATATGGTACTTTTTTATTTGTGCCTGACTCTCTACTAAACCAGAACTAGCTCAGGACAGCTGGCACTTAGCTCCAAGGTGTGAACAGGAGGGGAGGCTGCGTGTTCCAGGGCTGTGCTGAAACCAGCTCCCACTGGCTCAGCAGATGATTATTAAATTTTCTGTGTGAGCATTTACACCTCGGAAATCTTCAAGTGCTGCAAATCACAGTTCGATTCATTGTTTTATTCACTGAAATTGCTGGAGAAAATATTTTAATGCAGACAAATCTTAAAAACAATTTTTTTCCAGAGAGTCAGTTGTTATACACTTACCGGCACGCCTCCCTTTGGCACTCTGAGAGGCACATAAGGCCACTCTGAGGACCGAGGATAAGCCCCCTCGTTCACCCACTTTCTCCTGCCCCTAGACATCTTCCCCCCACTGCCACAGTGATGGACTTAAAGAACTTAAGCAAGGGACGGACACACACACACACACACACACACACACACACACACATACACACACAAAGAGAAAGAAACAGAGAGAGAAACACAGTACCAGAGAGACAGAGAGAAAGACAGAAAGATAATGGCAGAGAGAGAGAGAGAGAGAGAGAGAGAGAGAGAGAGAGAGAGAGAGAGAGAGAGAGAGAGAGATTCTCAGAACTAGTAGCAGGAATCATCTGAGTTAATATGCTGGCCTCATGGTATACAAGGGTCTGTGTGACTCCCCAAGTGTACCAATATGCCCTCCTTTCCAAAGAATTTGCTTCAGGTGCTGAAATGACCAGTTACAACTCAGGTCTTATCATCTTACCACAGAAGATGCTATATGTGCACGGGGACCAGTATTTTATGGAAACATTGCATCTTCCTCAACACTAGCCCCAATAATCTGATTAAATACTAAGCATTTAAGGTGTTTGTTGAATGAATAAATTTCCAATACAGGGCCTGCTGAACCCCCTAAACTACTCCTGACACCCTATAGCCAGATGGTCCTGCTCAAAATTCTCTTTCTGTAAACTGTAGTGGAGCTGGTAAACACAGGTTATCCAGGCCCCCTTTGCTGACAGCACTGTTTCTTCTCTTTTTTTTTTCTTTTTAATATCTTACTTTTTTTTCCAATTACATGTAAAAACAATTTTAACCTTCATGTTTTTATAATTTTGATTTCCAAATTCTCTTCCATTCTCCCTCCCCTCCCTCATCATTGAGAAGGCAAGCAATTTGATAAAGGTTATATGTATGCAGTCATATATGTGCAAAATGTATTTCCATATTAGTCGTGCTATGAAAGAAAACAAACAAAAACACAAGAAATATATAAAGTTAAAAATGTGTACTTGGATCTGCATTCAGACTCCATCAGTTCTTTCTCTGGAGGCAGATAGCATTCTTCTTCACAGGTCCTTCAGAATTGTCTTGGATTATTGTCTTGAATAAAATAGCTAAGTCATTCACAGTTGATTGACTATTGTATAATATTACTATTACTATTGTACAATGTTCTCTTAGTTCTGTTCAATTCACTTTGCATCAGTTCATGTAAGTCTTCCCAGATTTTTTTGAAAGCATTCTGCTCATCATTTCTTATAGTATAATAGTATTCCATCAAAATCATATGCCACAACTTGTTCAACCATTCTCCAATTGATAGGTATCCCCTCAATTTCTGATTTTTGCCACCACAAAAGAGCTGCTATAAATATTTTTTGTACATATAGATCTTTTTCTTTTTTGTTTTTTATCTCTTTGGAATACAGATCTATTAGTGGTATTGCTAGGTCAAAAGGGTATGCACAAAGGGGCAACTAGGCGGCTCAGTGGATAGAGCTCGGGCCCTGAAGTCAGGAGGACCTGAGTTCAAATCCTGCCTCAGACCAAACACTTGACACTTACTAACTGTGTGACCCTGGGCAAGTCACTTAACCCCAATTGCCTAAAAATAAATTAAAAAAAAAACTGTGGGGCAGCTAGGTGGCACAGTGGCTAGAGCTCTGGCCTTGGAGTCAGGAGGACCTGAGTTCAAATCCAGCCTCAGACACATAACACTTACTAGCTGTGTGACCCTGGGCAAGTCACTTAACCCCATTGCCTCATCAAAATAAAAAAAGGG